AGATATTCCCCCAACTTTTTAGTATTAAAATATTGACATCTGTCCTATTTAAGGAGATAATATATATATATATATATATATATATATATATATATATATATAAATATATATATAAATAACAATTAGGAGTGTATCTCAGTCTAACATGTATCACCTTTATTAAGGTTTTGTCAGAGACTGAGATAGAAATGAAAAAAGCAAAGAGACACTTATATGAATCAAAGTTACCATCCAATATACACCCAGACAAACAAATGGTTCTTTACATACACACTCTTACACTATCACACACTTTAATGTCCAAAATGTTTATATATTATCTATTGCGTTAATACATGTGACTCATGTCTGACAAATGAGAACTAGGCAAAAATCATAACATACCTGTACTTCATCTCTTTGCTTTTCTGATTTGTATTTTGATCTCTGACAAAGCCTTAATAAAGGTGAAACATGTTAGATTGACATATGTTTCCTACTTGTTCTTTATTTTATTTCATCATTTTGTCAGATTTCTATCTATATTAATAAATATATATATTATCCTCACCAATATATATATATATATATATATATATATATATATATATATATATATATATATATATTGATGAAGGCCTTTGACACTGTGAATCGAGAGGCTCTTTGGCAAGTCTTGAGGAAACTCAGCATCCCTGAAAACATGTTAAAGGTCATCATCTCCTTTTATGAAGGAATGAAAGCTAATATAGTGTCTGATGGTATGATGTCGGAATCCTTTAATGTCACAAATGGCACCAAGCAAGGTTGTGTCATGGCCCCTGTCCTTTTTGCCCTTTTCTTCTCGGTGATGCTGAAATATGCATTTGCAGACACAGAGAGTGGCGTCAAGTTTCAGTTTCGAACAACTGGTGGTCTCTTCAATCATTAGCGCTGCAAAGCCAAGTCCCACCTTCGTACGCATATTATTCGTGATTTGTTGTTTGCTAATGATGCGGCTCTTGTAGCGACATTCTTTGAGGAGACCCAACATCTAATAAATCGTTTCTCTGCTGCATGTAAAGCATTTGGTCTTACACTTAGCATAAAGTAAACTGAACCTGTGCACCAACCTTGTCCTACTCCAAAGCAGGTGCATGGTGAGAAACAAAAACCACCAGTCGACAAATTTCCAGAGAGACCATTGAAAGAAGACAAAGCCCTGAACTATGTAAAGTCTTTCACCTATCTTGGTAGCAAAGTCAATTACAGTGGAACTTTAGATGATGAAATCATGCATCAGATTGCTAAGGCTACCAGTGTTTTTGGCAAACTTTGCCATCACTTGTGGAATGAGCAGGGTATTCGACTGGAAAGGAAAATTCAGGTTTACAGAGCTGTTGTACTTGCCATCCTTTTGTGTGACGCAGAGTCGTGAACTCCATACAGGTACCATATACGCCAGCTAGATGTTTTCCATAAAAGCTGTCTGCGTGCAATCTGTGGAATTAAGCTTCAAGATAGGACATCTAATGTAGACCTGTTTAACAGGTGTAATATTGGAGGAATCAAGACTTTTATCATACAGTCTCAGTCACAGTGGACTGGTCATGTCTTGAGAATGTCTGATGACAGGATACCCAAGATCCTAATGTACAGCCAGTTAGATCAGGGCTAGAGGAATGTAGGACGGACATGGCTAAGATACAAAGACAAGCTGAAAAGCAACTTGTCAGCAGTTAATATACCACATACTACCTTTGAGTGCTTAGCTTTGGAGCGGGTAGAATGGAGATCAACATGTTTTAGTGGACTCAGCAATTTTCAATCTGCTTGTCTGAATCATCTTCAAGAAGTGAGAGCAAGATCTAAAAGGTCAGCCAATCTAACAGTGATCTCATCTCACAATCCTCACACTTGCTCCATATGTGGCCTCCTTTGTAAATCACTAGCGAGTCTTAAATGTCACTTAAGATTATCGCACAAACTTTCATAACTGAATCAATAAGCAGTCAGATCCTCATACATCGAAACCGACAGGAGAGTCCATTATTATTATATATATATTAACTGATTTAAAATATGGTTTATTCATTACACAGGAATTACCATGTTTCAAAAACTGAAGCTAAAAACTTCAAATTTAATTATATAATTAAATTATATATATATATAATTAAATTATATTTATAATACCTCATCTTAAAAATGGAATATTAAATTATCAAAAGTGGTATGATAAGAAAATGTCAAAATCAGTTAACGTTGGAGCTAAATGCTCTAAAAACATACCACTGATGTCTTACAGGATTGTGAAATAGTGGAGACAAGTGTTGGTTAAAGACTTGTATGTCATTGTAGTAGTCATGAGTTCAATCCCTAGATTAGGTAGTAAAACAATATACTCTGATTCAGCAGGATTGGACATCACTGAGACAAACAGATCACAGATATCAGCAAAAAAACAATTGACACCTGTGGATAATCAGAGGATACTTTGGTGAAATGTTGCACCTATAATAATCAAGATGAGAACAATAATTTGAATAAATTAAAATATATTGACTATTCATTATTTCAAAACTGGAATGCATATATTTAGGAATTTCTCCTCTTTTCCACTTGAATTAGGGTAAGGGACAGGTAGATCTATTACTTATAATATCATGAAAGTACTTTACAATAGTAGACACTAGTACCAACAGCCTGTCCCATGTGCCATAATAATGCTCTAATTTGATCACAGAATCTTTAGGTAAGCTGAGGCAATGTGGTAATCCAAACTGGATCAGCTGGTACCTTAAATGTGTATGAGACACTATGCTTGGTGAGAGGTATCCTAGGGAGAACATCTGTGATTGGGCTCTAACATATTCCAGGTGGGTAGCAGTGAGGATTGCAGTGTCTGATGCAATCTGTCATTAACCAATAACAACTGTAAATACAATATTACAAAGCCTACTAATTCTCTTACACTAATAGCCTCAGTTGCATTCCCAAGTTCCAATCTTAAATCTTGAAAAATTCTGATCAATCAATTATGACTCTTTGTTTCTAGTCAAATCTGTGATACTATGAACACCCATATAGAAAGGGAAGAGGAGGTTTGATCTCAACCTTAAATGTTTCTGTTTGATATACCAGTGGATGGTTCCTTTTCAAGTTTGTTCTTCTAAGCAGCATCTTCTTTAACTGAAGGAAAATAGGAAGTAAAGAGTTGGATGAGGATTTTTTGGAGATCAAGTAGCAACAAAACCGGAAATAGGGTATATCCATGTGTTTGTTTGTATTAACAGTCATGCTTAAGATCAAGAATAATTCTGGTCTACTGTGTGAGATGAACATTTCTGTCAAGCAGTTTTGAAGCCTCCATTTAGCATTGCCAGTCACCAGGATGAGTAGATGGTTAAGGAGTTAGTAGTGAGAATTGGTGATATTGCAGAAGTTGTCTCACATATCACCTACTGACACACCCAGATGAGCAAGTGAAGCCCTGAATAAAAACACTTACATATAATATGAAGAACAGGGTTTGCATTATTTCTTGATGTGGCATTTGTCGTTCATTGTGTTACTTTGTGAGCATGCAGTGGGCCCTTGCCCAGCTTTTGGTGACATGATCAAAAATTGGAATGCAATGTGAGGTAATCATTAGCCAATCAGTGGAAAGCTTGGGAAAGAGTCACATTGTATGTTTACAAAATCCACTCTTGTAGCATATAAAATCAACATATTTTCTGTTCCTTATCCAAAGCAACCAATTTCCTTTGGTAGTTTCCAGGATATCTTTAGTTACAGTGATTTTTTACTCACTGCGACCCACAGAGGAAACATTGCAAGCCTCTTGCTACCTTATCGCTATTTCCATGGCAAATGTTCTGACAATCTATATTCCTTTATTCTACCAGTATTGATCTTCACTGCTATGACCTGCCATGTTTTGTACAGCAGAACAAATAATCCCCTTTTCTTTTATATTCCATTACTAAGAAGGAAGTTCCATTTGGACACCTGCTTTCCAAGAACTGCTACTTTGTGGAACAAACTCCTGAGAGGATGTTCCCTGATCACTATTGTCCTGAGTATGATGATAAACTACACTAAGCAGCAGGAACACTGATCAGAAGATTGGAGGTTTTGAGGAGTAGAACCACCTCTTAAATGAGTGTTGTTCCCAGGTTCACCCTGACATGTTAGGGTCCCAGTTAAGGCTAAATAGTGAACCCCCAAACAAAAACAAAACACTATGAAATTATAAAAATACATTTTTATAGTAAAAATACCAGCAATACGTTTTTATATAAAAACTTACCAACAATACAATTCTGTAGTGAAATTCCTAACAATACCTATTTATAGTAAACTTAGCAACAATATTATTTTAAAACAAAAGGACCAACAATACATTTTATCTGTAGTTGAAGGCATAGAATTGCATTCAAAATATTTAAATCTCAGCATTAAATAACCCATCATGGTTGATGTGCTGCTAAACAAAACCAACCAAATCAACCAACCCTGGTCATTACAATCAAATCAAACACTTCAAGTCTAGGGTCAACTGTTATCTTTCCTATATATCCCTATCAATTGCACGTCTTACCCCCTTCTCTTATGCTTGGACAATAACCTCATTCAGTACTTCCACTACCTTGAGTGGCTCTTTGGGCTTATATTGGGTGAACAATGAGTAAAAAAGAACCATTCAAACACCCATACTCACTGACAAAACCATCTTTCACATATCTAGCAATGCCCTCCTTCTTAATCTTCAGAAGTTTTTTTTAAATACTAAGATGAACCTAAGACACGGCTCGAGAGTCACTCAAAGTAGACAGTTACTGTTAAAATAGTAACGAGGAATAAGGCATGTGTTATAAATGAAAGAGGAGGAAGTAAGACATGAAGATTACGAGAATAAGGAGGATAGATAACAACTGATTCTTGACTTGAAGAGACTATCCTTTTGGTGTCCAGAGAAGTACCCACATGAGAGTCTGCTTGCTTTTTTTTCTATTACCACTTACTTCACCTTTCTGAGAATGGTTTCCTTCCCTCTTTTCTTTCACTCCCTTATTTGTTGCATCCCTCAGTACCCTTTAATCTATACTTCTTCAACAGATCACAGTTTATACAGCTTCCTTTCAGTCTGTTCTTCTTTTAAAACCCTTTTATTTCATGCATTTTTATTTCACATTTTGCTTCTCTTCTTTTCACATTTTAGGAGGAATTTTTGAAATAAAAGTACCCCTAACCCAATAGGTCAAAAACATTATACAAGCATATCTTTTCATTAGAAAGAGTCATCTTTTCATTAGAAAGGGTCATCTTTTCATTAGAAAGAGTCATCTTTTCATTAGAAAGGGTCATCTTTTCATTAGAAAGAGTCATCTTTTCATTAGAAAGGGTCGTCTTTCTGCTTTCAAATCTAGTCAGTCTCTTCTATCTTTAAACTTTTTTCTATGGATTCTTCTTTCACTTCTGAGAAGACAATTTCCTCTTATTTAGTATTCCCTACCTGGGTCAGTGCATATTATCCCGAACCCCCCAACTGATTGGAAGCCCCGGGCAGTGCTTTGTAACCCTCACCATCTAATCAACATTTGTTTTTTTTCTACTTATAAATATTGCAAATTAATCTAAGCACAACTGATTATTAAAGGATGAAAACATTTTATGGATTTTGACATCATTCTGGGGTTTCTTTTTTTTGTGTCCAAATCCATGAATTTGTTTTATTCATGCTGAGTCTCAAAAATAAAATTCACTATTTTTTATTCATAATGCTGAATGTGCTAAAATTATTCAACTTTATAAAAAGAAAAATCCCAAATTGATGTTAAAAATTGCCATAACACATTGTTGATTTAAATAAAATGGAATGATCTATTATGACATGTCTCTAATTTGTATCTAGATATATTGTATTTATTTTCAGTCTTTCTAGTTGAATTGTTCAGCTATACTGCATATGGCCCATTATTGTACATAATTAGGTTATAATAAAATTTGTATTTTATATAAATACTACTTGATGAAAATTGAGATATAGTAGAGTGAAGATCCCCGTATCATAGATTGGTGAGAGGTGGGGGGGGGTCATGAAACCCTTGCACAGGTTCTATACCCTACCACAAATCCAACACATAATCCAATGTGAATCTTTCTTGTAATACTCACTTACTAGGAAGGTCGATTCATTATGTTGTTTGAGACAATTTTTCTTAACAGAATCTATCATACACATTTATATGTCTACCATTTATCCATGCATTGAATATTGCTGCTACATCTGGTCTAGATTCTTGATAAAATACAAAGGAGAATACGCAACATTATGGGTCCTAATCTAGTATTTTAGCTTAATTCACTTTTCCCTTTGCCATAACATAGTTTCTTTGTGCCTTTCTATAAATATTTTCATGGTAATTGTTCTCATGAGCTTTCCTCTTTGGTAAATATGGGGACTAGTTAGTATTTTCATAGAGACAAAGAGGTATTATGGTGGTGGTAATAAGAAAGGTATGTATGAATGTGTTGTTTTGGTGTAAGGAATATTGTTTTGTACAATTGGGTCAGTGCTTGCGGCTAGCTAAGTTATAGTTAAGACAGAAGAAGACCGTCCTTTCCCCAATCCCCTTTTTCGGCCTTGTGCCACATTTCTGTATTGTACAGAATAAATATCGCTTTCCTCTTTGGTACGTAGACTTTATGAATTTAAGCATACTACCGTATATATTTGTGTATAGGTCACACCCCTACTTTATGGTTTAATAATTGATGATTTGCTATTGACTCACAGATAGGTTGCACTATAAGCTAGGGAGTTATACAGACCTTTTTAAACATAAGAATTATCAGGTATCTACCTTTATTTCTAACTTTATTTCAAAACTTACAATTATTAATACACTTTTGCAGTTAAAATACATTTTGTCAATTATCATGTAAACAAAAGGAAGTAACTGTTGTACTGGTATTTTTATATTTACTACATATTTTTTTTATATTGAGTCAACTCGACAAAAAACAAAAAGAAATATCTACAGAAGAAAATGTTATGGTACATGGAGAAAAAAAGTGTTTATTTATATATCAAGTTACAGTTTTAAAATTCATTCAGAACTGAATCCACAGCTTTAGTGTTTATGGGTATCATTTCCAATTTCTCAGAAATCATGATAACATGGTAGTGTTGTTTTACATTTATGTCAAGCGGACAGGTCGCACCCCTAATATTTTATGAAATTTTTGGTAAAAAAGTGCAACCTATCTGTGAGTATATACAGGTACTGAATTGGTACTGAATTGGTAGCAAAATATTATTATTTTGCAGTTGTAACCGTAAGTTCTATGCTAATAGTTTCTTTTCTCTCACTTCTTACTTGTGGGACTCTCTTTCAACATCTTGCTTTCCAGTCAACTTCAAACATTTAAATGCAATGTCAATCATTATCTTCTGTCTTCCTAATTCCTATTCTTTTATTGTTCTCTTTGCTTAATAATGTTTTTATTTTTCTCAAATTCTCTCACACTCAGTAACACCTTGTATCTGAGTGGCTTTATTACCTTGCTTGGAGCGAAATGAGGAGGCAAAATTTAAGACCATAAAGATTAGTAACAGAAAAGAAATATTGTCTTGTGAGTGTCAAACCTTCTTTCCTCATTATGTGTTCCAGCTTGGGAAAGGGATTTTGTCCCTAAATGTACATGTGAGTTTATTGTTTCCCTTTGCTCCTCTTGCCTTCAATATGTCCTATGAGTGTCAAATTCTTCAAGCCTACTTCCCTCATTATGTATCCTAGAAATGTTAACTGTCTTTTTCTGATTCTAATTATAAGTGTCATTTTTGTTTTCATTTTTTTAAAAACTTCTTTGTTACCCACATGTTCCATTCATGGTTTTCCCAGCATCCTTCTGTAGAACTACATCTCTGTTGCTTCAAGTTTCCTCTTCATCTGTGAAAAAAGTTATCCAGCATTCACTGCTATATAAAAGAATTGATATGACATGGCAGTTCAGCACAATTTTTTTTGTATCTAATAAAATTTTCCTGTTTTATAATACTTTTTCTTAGGTTTTCAAAGGCATCTTTCATTATGCCAGTGTACCTTCAGATTTCAGTGTCATATTTTTTGTTGTCTGCCATAACACTCCCTAGATAGTTAAATCTGTAGTTCACCTCTTTGGCTGTTCATCTTGCTAAGAAATAAGTTGTTCACATTGTGCTGTACATTATCACACACTGGGAATAATAAGCAAAGAAAAATGCTGACAAAGAAATGAAAAAAAGCCTCCTACTGGAATATTAAAGTTTTTTTATCAGAGATAGCCATTTTGAGTCAGTATTTCTCAAACTGCAAAAAATAAGGAACGACATCTGTTTTCATTACCTACCAGTTCCTGTATGATCACTGAAGTTAAGCAACATTGAATCTGATCAGTACTTAGATGGGTGACCACTTTGGAATACCAGGTGCTGTAAGCTTGGATGTGTGACTGGTGTAATAGATAATGGCTCAGAATTGTTAATCAGAGAGCCAAGTTCAAATTCCTGTTGTGTTTGTTATATCTACTTATGTGCAACTACCTTTGGGAAAGGCATGAATCCACTTCTTCTTCCTTTAGCTATGGGTTAATTAGTAGGTCTTGTATGACTAAACCATTATTATCTAAAATAGAATATTCTTATAATCTAAAAATATTTTTTGGCTTTAAATAACCTGCATAGTGTTGATAATCTATAGGAAATGAATTGAACCAACCAACCAACTACTGGGAAGTAACTTCTCACTGTGGGGTTTGTCAGTAGTTCATTTTCTGAGCAACTGATCGGTTGAACTCTCTGTCTACGGACGGAGAGGAACCCGAAGGGTGGAGTCTCCTTCAGGGAGGTAAAACCGGCCCTGAACCCGTTTATACGGGTTCAAATGGGCTATTTTTTGGCCGAGCCTAATGGCTCGGGAATTCCCACGTTAAAAAGGCCTTGTGCCACATGACACCCTCGTGGGGGGGGGTGACTCAATATCGTCACACGACATTTTATAGTTCAAATAATTATTCATCATAGTCTAAGAAGAGTACAGACATGTATGATTTTGTGCACGTTTATTAATACCAATTTTATTTATGAAGTTTTCTTTTCATTACTCGTATTATTCGAACAAACATGTTTGGTATAGGAAGAGAAATAGAAACTGAAAAAGGAATAACAAAGTGTAAAGCTAAAATGAAACTTATCAAGAAATAACAATGAAAGAAAAGGGCAAAGGAATTTCAACTCTTAAATGAAAAATGATTATTATTATTATTGATATTCATTTTGGGGGTCAATGAGAAACCAAGGATTCCATGAAGGGGGGGGGGGTCAATGGTCTAAAACAGTGGTTCTCAATCTTTTTTGCCCAATGTACCCTCCTCATCATAAATCAGAATGTCATTCCTCCACTACCAAAATTTTCTGACTCAAAATGTGCATTCCAAATAATATGCATATATCATAGAAAATCTTCATTCTTTTCTCTCTCTCTATATATATGTGTGTGTGTGCTTGAGGTCACTTATGACAAAAACTGAACAATTTCCAAGCAAATATCATTGCCTTCATGACTATTCAAGCATCCTTCACAAGTTGACTGATTTAATAAAAAAAGGTATATTATTTTTAAACAGCTTATTATTACCTGTATATTCATGAAGTTTTAACTTATTATTCAAACAAACATGTCTGGTATAGTGTAAAACTAAAATGAATCTCATTGAGAAATAACAATGAGGGAAAAGGACAAATGTATTTCTGCCATTAAATAAAAAATATTATTGATATTTTTCATACATGTCCAGAATTTAATGTTGTGACCTCTGCCATTTTTTTCGGCACTGTTTTATGGCCATCTGTCATTTTTTTAATTATTCTTAAACTGACATTACATTGTCAGTCATCAACTAATAAGATACTTCATGTATCAGCATGGCTGAGATTGGAGCCCCAAAAGTGCTAGTTTCAGCAGCGTTTTTTTTTTTTGCTTTTTGTACTTTTTACTTTTTTTCTACCTAAGTTATATTGTCAATCATCAACTATAATAACCGACAGGGCCAGTGCTTACTACTTTAAACCTCTCAACTGTGTGGAGCCCATGCCTATTGGTGTGTATGTGTGTGTGTGTGTGTGTGGGGGGGGTAATTTTCTTTCTGAACAGTTCTTTTAAATCAATTGAGTAATATATCTCTGTAAATAAGGAGGATGCCTGATTTTTTTTTTTTTTACTAATAGTAATACTAACCAGAAGTCTATGGCTAGTAATTAAAATAAAATTTCTAGTCCCTATTTTTTACATTTCTGGAAAGGTAAAACCAAGAAAACATGAAAAATTTTCCTGAAATACTGTTTTTAAAACAAATTTTTAAAACAATCCCATTTGTGTTGTGTTAGAATCTTTGTGAAATTTTTTTTTCAGCAGAGATGGGTTGGTGATTAATCTTTATGGAAATATAAAAACTTTGTAACATAAATATTTTTTCAAGTAAAATTTTGTTGCGAAAATATTGGTGGTTATTACAAAAAGAATAACATTTTCTCAGATTTTTAAAATAAAAAACTATTCATTATAAAACTAAATAATAAATATGTACTGAAATTACATTTAAATTGGATAATTCCCTGATTTTTGGTAATTTAAAAAAAAGTGCTACCTTTCCCCACAAAACTTTTCTTTCAAGTGACCCTCAAGTTGGGAAACTTAGAAATAGACATGTAGTAGAGAGGAGGGTCCGGTATCAATGTTTTTTTGTGGGGAAGTCATGAAAAGGATAGTTTATCATATATTGTTGCTGCTAGCTGGAGCTGGAGGCCTGCTGAAGATGGCTGGAGATGTGGCTGATGATGATAAAACTGCTGCTGGTACAGAGGCATCTTGGTCTAGATTGATGTTTTTTTTTAATTTTTTTGTTTAGGCCTTTTTATATCCTGAATCAGTTTTACAATAGTTGCTGGTGCTGGAAGGTGACATTTCTTCTGGTTGTTTTTTCAAAAAAAGAAATGGGTGAGTGCCGACAGGATACAACACTGATCTCACTCACAGGGGCAGATCCGATTAGTGACAGGCCCCCATGACACAGAAGAGTACATAACTGCCCAGGCTATCAGCAGTTTCACCAAGGTGCATTCTATCAACAGACATGCCTTCGACCAGCAATGAAACCAGCAACAGCAACAGTAGCAGGGATTAACATCACACGTTTTAATTTACTCCACATTTATCTTGACTACTATTTTGTTTTATACTGAATGAACTCTTAGTCTCTCATGACAACTATACAATATCCCAGAAGAAGCAAACAATTAAGCTTTGTAAATCACAGGGAAATAAAAACTCTTTTACTTATCACAACCATGTCTTATCTTCATTAGTTGTTTTGTCAATTCCACCTATTTTTTTGTTAACAGATAAGGCCATCATTACAGGTAGGAAAAAAGTCTTAGAGAAAATAAGTAATCTTTTCATCATTTTTTAAATACCATGTTTCTTCAGAACATAGACAATTATTATATAAAAATGTTCCTTGGGGTGCAGTTAAATTCCATAAAGTCAAAGACAAAGATGAACACATTTGAAGAAGAGAAGCAACTTGACAATGATATTAAATACAAAGGTTTAATGTACAATGGGGTGTATACACAAATAGTTAAAATGCTTGCAAATATAATTTATATTTACAGACTTAACTGCAAGAAGACTAAGGAACAAATGGGATTTGTGTGGCTTCTGGACGCCATTAAAAGAGGGCTCCAATAAATGTGTGGTCACTAAGGCTATTACTTTGCAACAGAAGAAGATTTCGGGATTGAATTTACCGCATGATCCTGAGAAGGGTTCCTGATTGGACAGTTGTTAGCCAATCAGAGTCCTGGATTAGTAAGGGCTTCAAGTTCAAGGTTGATCTTGGAATGGTAAAGAGTTAGCTCCCTTTACTATCACTTTTGAATTCTTATAATTACTTTTCATAGTCTCGTTTTTCTCTATTTATTGGGAATAGCCATGACTTCTTGGGTAAAAGAGTGATTTCATGTTGTCTTCCCCAGTTTTGAATTCAGAATAGTTTTTTTGCAGATTGGCTGTCCTCTCAAGACTAGAAAATATAGTTTACCCTACTAGAAAACCAGTAGCTGGAAAATATTTATATTTAATATATCCCAATAAGTCATATTTAATTTATAATTACCATATATACTCGAATATAGTGTGAGTTTTTATGATCAGTTAGGCAGTTACACTATACACAGGTAATTTTTTTGAAAAGGTTAAAATTAATGCATTTTCAGTGACCATAAACTACCTGGTTAGCTATCAAAAAAAAAAAATAATACAGTAACTAAATCTTTGTATCAAGCATTTTACAGTAAGTGATTTTTCTTAATATTTTGGGGTAGTTTTGTACAGAAAAAATTAAAACCATTTATTTGCTATAAAATATGTCCAAGATGATGCCGAGCACTGCAATATTTGATTACGATAGGCCTACTAGTATTGCCCAGAATCTGGGGTTGCATAATACACAAGCTATATGAAAAAATCAGGTTTTTCACAAACAAAAGTCAGGGGTCACACTATACACAAAGTAGGCTTATACACGAGTATATATAATAATATTTAAAATAACAAAACACTCAGAATTTAAATTACTTATCCTAAAGTAGTCAATATCAACTTCCAGGGATTAGCAAGGCATTTTAGGGGGTTGATTAAAATTGTTGCTACAGAGTATATCAATGTCTCATCATTGCACAGTTTAGTAGACTTTCTGTAGGTAATGGTGAAATTGCAATCGTTAAAATATTTACCTAAAAAATTCCACAACATACAAACGGTAATTCAAAAAACAATGTTCATCTTGTTGACTTTCACTTTAAAAGGAAGGAACTCTTCACTAGTGAGTTTTATTCTTATAAATTGAAAGTAATCTTTTTGTTTTTGCTTGTTTCGACATATACATCTATATATGCTTTAACTTTAAGATATTAAAAAAAACTGATCTGTGTTTATTGTAGCTAGTTAACTGAATTAATTTATTTCCTTTTAGCAACAAACCTAACAACCATTACGGCAACCACAGATTCTGAAGTCTTCCAGTCTGAAATGGTATTTAGTTATAATGCTACAAAAACCACAAAGATCAAAGACCATCTTCAAAGAATGCACCCTGATAAAAAAAAAAAATGTTTTAATTTTTTTTCCCAGAAAATTGAAAGATAAATATTAGAACTGAACAACTATCATCTAATTTCTCAGAAGTATTTTAACAAACAATACAAAATATGACATATAAATCTGAAGTTAAACAAAGTCTTAAGAAGCCAAAAAACATTTCCTGTCCTGTATAAGACGATAAACTACATCCATGTCCTGGTTAAGGTGACAAACTACATACAATAGTGAGGCTTCTGATCAGGATGTTTTGAAGAGCATGGAACCACCTCTTATTTGCTAGTGTTCTCAGGTCCACCCTGACCTGGGGTAGTAGCACCTGTTAGGGTCCCAGCTATGGGAAAATATTAAATCCCTTAACTAGAGTCAAAACACTATGAAAGTGTAAAAATAAGTTTTAGTACTAGCAATACATTTTTGTAAAAAATTATTACCAGCAGTGTATTTTTGAAGGAAAAAATATTACCAGAAATACATTTTTGGAAAAATAAAATATTACCAGCAATACATTTTTGAAGGAAAAAATATTACCAGCAATACATTTTTGGAAAAATAAAATATTACCAGCAGTGAATTTTTGAAGGAAAAAAATATAAACAGAAATACATTTTTGGAAAAATATAATATTACCAGCAATATATTTTTGAAGGAAAAAATATTACCAGCAATACATTATTGTTATTTTCATGGAAAGTGTTCAGACAAACTATATTCTTTAGTTCCACTAGTTGTAACTTTCACTGCTAAGAGCTGCCATGCCCATTGTAATGAACCACCTTCATTGCCTTCATATTCCCTTGGTGAGATCTAAGTTCCACTCAAGCAGCTTTTTCCCACAAACTGAAGCTTTGTGGATCTGACTCTCAAGAGGATGCTTCCCCGATTGCTACAATCTTAACCTGTTCAAGCCTAGAGTCAAATGTCATCTTCACATCCATATATCCCTATAAACTGTGCCGCTTACTCTGTAATGCTCTACATCAAGTGGCTCTTGGGCTTTGTACAGGGTGAACAAAATTGTTTAAAAAAATATCCCAAAATATTTTCTGGCTTTAAATAACCAGCAAATCAATCAATCTAGTTGAAAAATGTTTTTTTTTATGGGATGTGCTTTGTTTACAAAATTTAGTTTTAATTTGTACGTCACTAAAAGACAGAGGTGTATTGCTCAGGGCGGAGCAGGGAGAATTAGTCCTAATTTTTTTTGCCTCTCCTCATATTATGCAATATTATTTCAGAGTCAAATATCTAGTTGAAAAAAAGTTGTTTTTTATGACACATGATTGGTTTAGGAAGCTTAGCTTTATTTTGTATGACCCGAGGTCAAATCGAAATCCAAATTTATGTTTGGTGTAGGATGGACATTGACAAAAAAGTCAAGAGATAAAAAAAAGTAATATTGCTTCTCCCATCCTTATCACATGCTTTTCTTTCTTTTCTATGGGTTAAATAGTAGGGATTCTATCAGTAGAGTCGAAAAGAGTTTCCATACCATTTGCATGATGAAAAAATTAAAATTGTTCTTTATTTATCTCTAATTTTTTTAAATTTATTTATTTCATTTATTAATATTTTTTATGTATATTTTTTATGGATTTTTTTATATATTTTAATTTTTATTTAACATACTTTATTTTATTGATGTCAAATATTACTATTATTATTTTTTATCAATTTGAAACTGTGATGATTATAATGCAATGATGATTGTTTTGCTGTCAAAATGACTTGAATATTAAACAATTCAATGTATCTATTTTAAATCTGTTCATTCCCTTCCTCATCCTGTATTTTAACTTGTTCAGTCCTTAACAAAAAAAAATCTCTTCTAGGTAACCCTATTGGCGCATGTTTAATTCTTCTTTCTTTCCTTTCCTTTCTTTTCTTTCCCACCCTCTCTCACTCCCACCTCTCTCTCTTTCTCTCTCCCCTCCCCCAATTTTTTTAAAAACCTTATATTGAAATTTTTATTTTTTCTTTCTTCTTTTAATATTAAAATTTTTTTACTTTTCTTTTTTTCCTCCCCCTTTTCCTTTCATCTGGGTAAATTGATTTCATTTATTAAAAAACCTTCAGTCTGGAGAGATGAATATTTGTATATTCATGAAATAAATTATAAGAATGGATTTTTAAGGATCGTCTGTACTCATTATTATATATATGGTGAACTCTCCTGTTGTATTCGACGTATGAGGGTCAGGCAGCTCAGTTCCTAGGAACCGACAGCCCAGACACCAGCACATATGATTTAATTATAGTGTTGAAGGCTTTGTGCAGAACCAACCACACTTCTTGAAGGGCCAAATACAAAGACTTGGTGCACTATGTGCTACAAGGTCCCCAAACAACCCTCTGCAGGTTTTGAATTCAGAGATGTCCTTCTCCTAGACCAGTTGCCATCCAAGGCTATATAACCCAGTCTGTCCTGCTATTTACCTGGAGGGAGAAGAGGATTCACACATTTCCCCAAGGGTATTAGCACCTATGTGAATGTAATGGATTCAACTGGAATTCAAACTCAGCTCTCTAATTTCTTAGTCTGAGCCACTATCCACTGTGCCTCCTACATATATATATATATATATATGGTGAGTAGAAAGAAACTCAATATTTAAAATTGTTAATAACTATCATTGGTTGATTTTCATAATACATATTTTATTTTGAACTGTATAATGCATATCTTCGTATGTGTTCCATTAAGTTTATCACTTCTTCATTTAAGTTCAATCTTCAACACTTTCAAGTTTGGCTTGAAAATGATGGTTTTAGGGATTTACTTCTCCATTTTGTTTTGTATGCACCAGGTTTGCCCAATTCTGATTTCTATGACCTTTACACTTGACAGAATCCAAGCACCATTGATCAAATATTATATTTTATTTCTGTTAGTTTTTTGTAGCTAAGATGGTAAGAGCAGATGATAGTTAAATCATGTAGTAAGAGCAAGCGACTATCAGTAATGGTTTCAGAAATTTCCAAAACATGTTCAGATCAATTATAAAGAAATTTCCAAACTTAGTGACAAGTGGAAGTTTTTTCTTCTCTTCTTCAGCTTTTTACATTTTTCTGTCTCCCAGGATCTTCACTCTTCACACCAGTATTGCTTCTTAGCTGATTTTGTGGAGGTACCTATATCTATATATTTATTTTATGTAATAACTATAATTTATAGATTTTTGTCATTTTGTGGAACAGACTCCTGAGAGGATACTTCCTCAATCACTAAAATCTTAACCTCTTCAAGTCTAGTTACTTAAGAAATCAATAAAAAGGTCAACAGTCAAAAATATTTGGAGGATCCTTATTTTGTGTATCCATGCATTACAAATCTTGTAGATTCATTTTTTCTTTATAAATCAGAAATCTTGGTAGGGATTCAGTTAAGCTAAAAAATGATTAATTTTTCTAAAAAGAATTTTGACATAGTTTGTCCTGCTCTTTATCAAAGCAACCTATTTTTCTTTGAGGATCTGTTAATTTTCGAGAAAACGGAAGTTTAATAGTGGAGGCAGTTTTTCAAGTAGGGGGTCAATTTTGCAATGTACTTAAAATGATAAAACTGGATACTGAATTTGTGTTCAACATTATGACCTCAAACGTTCTATGTACAATGTAAACGTGGTGCTAAACTAGACACTGACTTTGTGTCCGCCGCAATACATGTCCGTCGTTACAAAAAAAAATTGTTAAGTTTTCCGATAGTGATTTTTATTGAATTAAATTTCAAGAAAGATACTTTCTTAAAACGCTAAAATAAAATTAGTTAGGAAGCAATTAAATTTTTGACAATTTGCTAAAAATTCGGTTACTTAAATTATAAAGCAGTTTCGAGTTTCTAAATGTATGGAGTTATAATGGACACAAAGTCAGTGTTCAGTTTAACGTACATCGACCATCTCTTTTTACAGTTACCTCGCTTGTTTCCATTTTTTTCTGGAAAGTGAACAGATTTTTAAAGAAATAAAGTTTTCATAAAGAGCATAACAAAATTCATCGGAAAAATACATTTTTGTAGAAAATTATTCATTTTAGCTCAACCGAAATTTTTACCAAAATAATTGTTTCTTGTCGAATGAACAACAAAAAAATGTCTTAACCCGCTAATAAACATCGCAACAATTTTTTGTTTGAAAAAAAACATCAAAATAAAGTGGAAGAAAATTAAACTAAATAAACTTTTGAATAAAATATACGTAAAATCATTATTTTACCTAATTAGTGAAACTTTAAATTTAAAATAGTATAAGATACGTAAGTATGGTTCTCTTAATTCCTATATTTTGAGCAAAGCAGATACGCAGTGAATATTTTTAGCCAATATGGCGGTAAGAAAAAAGTAAATTAAATAAAAATAAATATTAAATTATCACAAATGAAAAATCACACAATCGAAAAAAAATTATTATGTAGAAACATTATCATATCGGAGGCTATGTTTTTTCATTTCTCAAACAATAACTTTGAATAATTTAATGTATTATTCATCACGCAACCATCGCCATGTGTACAATGGCTACTTCAGCCAGGGAACCTGTATTATAGAAGCACTGCCGGCAGCATACAATAAAAAAAACGGATATTATAAAGTATTACAAGGATTCTTCTCGAAGGGTCAACCTGTTTTCGATCATTTTTCGTCCTCTGCTTTGCTTGTTCTAACTAAAGGGCTAATTTGGAGCATTCACTGGGTCCGTTAATGGACACTCATTAGTGTATACTGATTGCGTGTCCTGTCTTGTGCGGAGGTTGCAGTGTTGCATGGCGGTCTAGCTGGGTACCAGGATTTTTGGGTAAGTTTTCCCAGTGTTCCATTGAAACGATGTTGTTGTTGGCGGCGGATGATGATAGCCACCTCCTTCTTGGCTCTCTCTCGCACACCATATCTGTCTGTGTATGAGCTGCCCGATTCATTTTGTCTCAAGCATGGCTTCTTTCTTTGCCTTTTTCGACTTGCTTTTTTAGTCCAAGCTTCTGTACACTTGACGAAGAAGGAAGACATTTCTTGTTTTTTTTTGTCTCCATTTTTACATGAAATCTCCGAAAGCCAAGATGGAGTCGGCTTCTTTTTCCTACGGTTTCGACTTAATCGTCTCTCTTATATGTTTTGCTATTAATATATCACTTGTGTGGCATTTTTGCCTTATTTTATTGCTTTGTCTTGTGTCCTCTTTTCAATCGCCGCCTAGATTTTCTCTGGTGCTGCTAACTAAATGCTAAATAACGATTCCACAACTTTACTATATTTTTCACCTTTCTTATTTATCACATTTAAAAAGTCAGCAGAAAAAGATGTATTTGCATCTATAAAATCGTTTTTCTACTTTTTTTTAAAAATTAATATTGTCATACGGGTATATTTATAATGGTACTATTATGTTGTTCAAACTTGTATGATCTGGCCCTTTGCTTAGAGGTCTGTTTATAAAAAAAAAAAAAGTACTATTTACAAAAAATGCTTTGTTTTCATGTGACAAATTGAAAAATGAAACATTGTTTTATTGATTCTCTCTGGACTGATATGTTTAACACGTATTTTTAATATTTAAAATATCTTTAAAAATCTATTGTCTCTAAGTGGTGTACGTAAGGAGTTGATTTTCACATGAGCTACGTGATTTCCTTCATTCTATCTTTACTAATCGATTCTCAGTTTGTCTTATTTTAACTTAACAAAAAAAAAAAAAATTAAGATTTATTTAAAAATGAAAACTACAAAATAACTTTCTTGATGTACACGTGGTAATCTTATTTTTAGTTTCGTCTTAAACCTTACAATAGCTGCTGGTCAGTCTCTCTAGTCTAAAAGCATGCACATTTTCTTAAAATTTTAGTCTGGCATGTGTTACACATTTTGTTTTGAATCTTCTTTTAAAGATGCGACTTTCAGTCTTCCTAGACAATTTCTTTGTAGATGCTTCAAAGAAAAAGAATTAAGTAGGCTACTAAATAAATGCAGCTAGCATGGGGGGGGGGTACAAATGAAAAATAGTTTCGGTTGTACCTGACCAATTTTTAAATTCATTGTTAAAATAAATAAAATACACTTCACTTATTTCTCTTGGTTTTTTTGATCACAACTTCGATTATAATTTACTATAAATTAAAAACAATTTTGAATAAAAATTGTCTTAAAGTTATGGATTTAGTTAGAAGAAAATTGTTATTTTTATTTGGGACAGTCTGAAAAAGCTACGATGACCCAAATCGACAGCTGGTGTCCACTGAACACACACAAAAAAAAGTGATTTCAACTGCCATCCAGTTCAACCGGGAACAATGCGCTAAATAATTTTTATTTTGTCTTTTGAATACAAAAAAAATACAATAGTGTGATTATGGCTATTGTTCTTTTAAAAGTAATCTGATTTTCCATAATTTTTTTTTTCATTCGAAGTGTTTGTAAGTAATCTAAAAACGACTTTTCCTAGGTACGAGTGACTAAAAAAAAAACAGTTATGAATGAAAAATAGCATTGCTTCCATTTTTAAAAAATTTTTTTTTTATTGTTTCTATCAGTCTTCCTAACATTCGGTAGATAGTCAGTGGTAATAAAGGATGACAATAACACCTCTTAAAAACGGTAAAGAGAATGAAACTATATTTGAGATGATAAATATTAAAAAGCAGAAGATTGAATGAGTAATGTAGATTGAAGAAGAGTAAGACCCTGTTTTCGGTATATAAATGAAAAATCAAGGGGTTTTTAACAACTGTTTACTTTGACAATATTTCCTCTTTGGAATCAAACTAAAACGTTGTGCATGATCTTTTAAAGTACTTAATAATACTTTGGTAAAATATCAATATGAACTTTATTACGTTTTTATTTTATAAATATGCAGTGTAAAATTAAAATAACTCCTACATATTTCTATGTATCTTTTTAGACTAATAATGTGAGCGAGTTGGAAGATATACCAAGGGAGGTAAATCATATTTCACCTATAAAAAAAAAAAATAAGCCTTTCATATGCATTGTTTCAATAGCCAATTTGTAACTCTCTGGTACAACGATTAATTCATCTTAGGAAATCTTTTGTATGCAATAGTGTATGAAATTAAAAAAACAAAAACATTTTCGTCTGAATTTCTTGGATGAGAAATTGTTTACAACACAGATGAGGTTAATTGTCCACATGTAATAAATGTAGGTAAAAAGAACGTTTGTAAACAATGTTTTCCAGTCTATTTTACTTATCAAGCAATAACAGCCTAGGGTTAATGAGTGATATAGATAGATGGGGCAGGTAAATTATTTACCATAATTATATGTATAAATGAATGTGTTCTTTTCTGGTTAAAGTTTAGAAACAAATATATTTTTAATTAAAAAATTTAATCATAATAGGTATTTGCTAAGTTTAATCTAGCACATGAGGTACTAATTTAGTATCAAATTCACTAATAATTCATGAGGGTCACTTGCAAATCATTGTTCTATAAAATAAGATTCTTTTCAATTAGGTCTAGTTATAAATAATTTTCATTTGTAGTTTATCAACTTGAGTCTTCAAAAATAAAATACAATTACATTTTATTCAATTATATATTCACCATTATTTGCAATGACATGTTACCCCTTATCAGGCAGCTCTTTGATAGCTTTTGAATAAAATTCTTCACATTTTGATATGAAAGAGTTTTTGAACGTGGTTTTTATTAGAGAAAGTTTTCTCCATCAAAGCATTTAACAACCAAAAAAGCTAATAACTGGTTGGTGCAAGGCCAGGTGAATATGGCAGGTGGGGGTTAGAACAGAGCAACCGAATGCCAATTTTTTTCCCAGTATTTTTGCTGTATGTGATTTTGCATTGTCATGGGCAAGAACATTTCCTGTTGATAAGTGCTGGGTGCTTTTTGGCCAAACGTTTATGGACATGTTGCAGCTGCTGAACATATTAATGTGCATTTAGTGTTTCATTGCATTTTAAGAACACTAAATGAATAATCCATCACACATACAACATTACCTTTCTTCCATAGAGTTCAGCTTTTGGGGTCAGTTGTGGAGATTTATCCTTGTCAATGCCTTTTGCATTGAACATTGTTCTAAACAACCCATTTTTCATCACCTGTTATATATTTAAGGAATATATGGTTAAGATTACAAAGATGGAAATTACTTATTAGTTAAGCATACATGTATTCAGCTGATGATGTTTGAGGTAAAGTATTTAACTTGAAAACAAAAAATCAGGGTAGGGAGATTTGTATTATAAACAACAATGGATAGGACTTCATTTTGATATTAAACAAGAAAATCCAGGTATCTTGTTTTTTATTCTTGTTTTTTAAAAAGAAAAATATGCACATCAGATAGTTTCTGAGGTTTAGCTAGCTTTGTCTAGCACAAGGCCACAATAGTGGGGAATAATATAGGAGTAGAAATTTTGTGATGAAGAGATCCAGTCCATCTTGAAAATTATGATTTGCAATTCTTTTGCTTTGATTCTTAGGCTAACTATAGCCAGAAAATACACAAATATCTTCCACCTATGATGTATTTGGCATCAAGATTGTGAACTATGTTGATCATTACTACTGAATAGTGAGTTCAATTCTCACTAAGTGCACTATAGTTGTGGCCTTGTTCTAAACTAAGTTTTGTATATAACAATTCATTGGGTTATTCTTTGCCAATATACTTAGTTTCATGTGGAATCATCTGACAAATCAGTTGAGAAAATTGTCAGGAAATGAATGAAATTGAAGACTTCTGAATAGAAGTCCAGCAACTAGGCATCTTATAAGGGATATTTAATGTTTTTTCTATCTTTTAAGTCCCTGTTCTAATGAGATTAATAATAATCCATTTATTACTTCTGAAAATGAGATTTTCAGAGGTAGTAAAGTGAATTATTATTTACTGTCTGTTTTTAATATTGAAGGAAAGCTGTGTGTCAGAAAATTGTCTTTATTCTCTATTTCAATTTGTCTAGAGAAAAACCTTTTTTTCCCTATTCATATCTTTGTTTTATCTCTACTCTATCTGTGTGCTTTTTTTTCTTTTTGGTTCTTCCTCCCTACCCACACAAATATTCTTGAGAATTATATGCCAATTTGACTTTTGTCCAATCAGTTTTAAATCCTTGGAAATATTGGAATCTCATCTTGCCATAAAGGATTTTTACCTTTTTTGTATCTGAATAAAATCAAAGGAATTCATATTCTTTTTGTAAATTGTGTGTGAAATATGGATTTGGGAGGATTTTTTCTTATATATTTAAAAATAATTTTTTTATTACTAATGTTTTATAGTAATTAGGTTATTATGATGGCTTCCTGTGACCTAATTGGTCACATCAGCTATAAGTTGTTTTTTTGGCTATAAGTTGTTTTTCTGATAGAAAAAGGGAATACAGGTTTGATTCCTTTCAGGATACATATTTATTTAAAGCACATGTTTACAGGAATGTCAGCATGTTTACCAACAAAAATAATATAATAAAAAGAAATGTCATCTGGGTTCTGAAGAATAATGCATTGCTGGGTCTATATTACACCAGTATTATGAGCTTTTAATATTTTTGATATAATAATGAGTTAGGATCAAGTATGGATTGGAATCCGACAATGATAAAAAACAAATAGGAAATGTTTATTAATCAAACTTGTTTCACTTTTATTAAAGCTTCTTCAGAGACTGAAAAAGAAGAAATAAATTCTGGTATTTTTACTTTGGTGTTGTTTTTATTGGTCAATCATGTATCGTACATTCAACTCTTTAGACACAACATTATTATAATTTGTGGCGTTACAAATTCAATACAATAATATATGCATACTTGCA